TACGGTACCAATTTTGGCAAACCATAATACCGTACCGGACCATACCGATTCAAATTTCCGGAATCGGTAGCGGTACGGGCTCAATACCGTACCGTGCCCACCCCTAGAGGGTAAGGTAAGAGTGTTGTTAAACGAACTTTAAAATTAATTGAGTACACTATATTACCAAATTATTTATTGAATCACTAATTTATTCTAATATAAAATGACCAAAGAGAATATATTGAATTATGAAACAAATATAATTTTAATAAGTATACCATACTCGGTTAATTTTAGAGTTCGTTTAACAACACCTTTCTTTCTTCATTTCTTTGTTTTTCTTTTTCTAATTTTTTTTAAAGGCTTTTTTTTATTTACGATTCCTCAAAAACCTTTCTTTGGGTTCTTCTGGCGAAAGAGTTAAAAAGAGCCTTTGGAACAAGATGCAAATTATTAGCTTTGCCCAACTGGGGTTGATTGAACATTTAAAGTTGGAGTTTTTACACTTGGTTTTCAATATTTTGACTTTAAAATTGCGTACAGTTCATGTCCTCCATTGTTTGTTTATTTTTTCTCATGTTTATTTTAATATGTGAATGATCCTGTATCTAAGTGATATTGAATTTTCTTCCCCCAATTTTTCTTGGGATCTTTTACTCCCTCTGTCTGATTCTGCTTTGAAGTTAAAGAGTAAAGAATTGCTTTTCCTTTTCTTTTTCTTTGTTTCTTGCTTTTTATTTTGGCAAAAAGTTACTTTTAGTTCCTGTAGTTTGACACTTCAATCACTTTTGACTATGTAGTTTCAAGTCAATGACGTGTTAGTATTCTTGTCAATTTTTTTAACGATGTAAGGGGTAATTTCGTCCACCCAAAACCATTAAGCGTAAAAGTTTGTCTGAAATTCTCCCCATTTCATATTAAGGCTCGAAATTCAACAACTAATCCTAATTTTTGAAGAAGATCACCGATTTGACTGGTTCACAACGTAATTAATAATCCATCCCGCATATACTTCCATGACGGCAACAAGCCGCGAGTGCGATAGGTGGGAGGAGATGAATGCATGGGATTGAAGTTGTAGAGCATTTTGTTTAGGGTAAAATTCCCTGTAATCGGTGTAGGTGTTGGAGGAGGCTTGGTTGTTTTTATTATTCTAATTATTATTTGAAGTGCTGCTCATTGCAAATTATTGCCCTAACAAACATAACCAGAAGGAACTGCAAATATCGTGTATTCTTTTGTCTTCCATATTTTCTTCTTTTCATTTCAAATCCAGCTAACACCTCTATTTTACTCTCTCAATTGAAAATTATAGAAAAATAATAGGGGCAAGGCTTATAAATTATAATGGGATTGAGAATAAAATGATTTCTACAAGTTGAGAGTAGAAAGAAAGGCGATGGGATAAAATAAATAAAATTGGGGTTTTGAGGGTTTTGTGGACTCTCAGATTTTTTAAGAAGAAGAAGAAGAAGAAAAGTAGATATCCTTTTGGTTATAAAAAAAAAAAAAAAAAAAAAAAAAAAAGAAGAAGAAAGATTTGGGTTGAATATGGTGAGTAGGGTGTACTTATTAAAATCATATTTGTTTCACAATTCAATATATCCTTTTTGGTTATTTTACATTGGGGTAAATGAGTAATTCAATAAATAATTTGGTAGTATTTAGCATAAAATTAAAGGTAACGAGGGATACTATTATCATTATTTTATGGTTGACAAAATAAAATTTTATTCACACTCAAATGCTGTCCCTAGAGCACCTAGTTTCTGACCATGCTGAAAATTTTAAAAAAATCTAAATTAGTCGGTTTCACGTGGTTTGGTTTGTTTTTGCACACTCCTCAAGATAACGAAAAAATCACAATTTCTATTCACTTACTTCCATATGCAATAAGACTAGAGGCACCAACTTTTTTCGTTGAATCCATTCACTGAATGATGTGTAATGTATGTACGCATGTGAGAGTTTTTCTAGTTTAAAATAAATGATGTTCACAATGGGCCGATATGTAGCTTTTAATAAATAAGCCCATTCTAACATGGCATTTTATAAAAAAAAAATTAAAAAACCTTCCGAGTCCAATTCTTTAGAGAACTCCATGTTGTGATTGAAAAATTTATAAAATATTATGAACCAATTAGAAAATGACAAGTGGCTAATTGAGGTTACTTTTCTCTCTAAATAGCTTCTTTTAAGGGTTTTTGTATAAAATGTCATGTCACAATGGGTCTATTTATGAAAAGCCAATAAATTAAGGACATACTAACACATCATTTAGTGAACAAAACTTGGTGAAATTTATTTACCGCATGTAGTAATTTGGTAAACCAAACTTGGTGAAAATGTTGGGTTGTGTATAACACTTACTTTGTAAATTAGATAAGATGCAAATGGGCTAATGGGCGTTTACTTCATTTGTGGGCTTGAACATGATTTTATTGGCAATTGTAATAAAAGAATGACTCCAAAAAACAAAAAAAGAGAGAGTAATTTTTAGTTTATTTGTAACCTCAGCAAGTAGGGGGAAAAAAAACTAATTACTGTTAAAAAGGCAGCAAGTATTGTAACTTCAGAAAAGGTTCCTATTTGACAGTAATTATCATCAGTAAGTAGCATTAGCATCTTTAAAAAGTTGCATGTCACTGAATTTCCTAAGAGAACTCCCAGCGGGTTAGTTTTGCCAGGGCGAAAGGGAGCATAGGCTAGGTTTAAGCTCCCCAGCAATGAAAGGCAGCCCGGGCAAAAATGGGCCCTATTTACCCAGGCAAGCCCAAAGGCAAGAATTGCTTGAGCTATTGCTTGGGTTTGCTAATCTTATGTTGACATTAACGTGACATCATCAACCAATTTAACTACCCAAAACATAAAAAACCAAAATATTCAGAATTTTTTTTCTATAAATACCTAGCCATGTATTTCCATACTAAAACTCCATACAAATTTTTCTTTTCATATCTCACGTGAATAGTGCTTGCCTTCACTTGTCATGACAATGAGTGGAAAAGCAAAATAAAAGAGTAGGGCAGTCACTATCTACGTAAATAGTGTCTGCAATTACTTGCCCTTGCCCTTTGCCATGGCACCATGGGTGGAAGTGCTCTAAGGGATAACAATTCAAGGCTTATAAAACTGTCTCCTTACATTCTTACCACCTATACTTGCATGTCGAACTTCTTGTAATATGTATAACTTGGGGTGTATACCAAGGAGCTTCCTCTATCTAATTTGGAAGTTGAGGGCCCTTATGCAGAAAGCAAACATGAAGGCAAAGAAAACTGTGAAGCCAACAAGAACCCCTGCCACAGATCCCATGAAATTTGGATCATATCCAAAATGGTTTTCTACATACCATTTCACAGAAGGGTCAGGTGAAATCCCAGGTGCTTTAATGGTGTCCTCCATATCACCATACTGCGACACAATCAACCCATACACAGTCCATGAAACCGGGCATATCCAGTAGTACCAAATCCACCATTTGGGTATTTTCTGAAAATTCAAAGGGTAAAGAACTAGAGTTGTTAGCTTACTTCTACAAATTATTTAAACTCCAAAACATAGCTGCTTGTGAGAAGAAGAATATCTACTTACGGGTCTTGGTATGAAGAAACCCGAGAAGAGGTTGAAGAATGAGTAAAAAGTTGATGCCACCATGGCTGCTACTTGGTGGTTTGGTGTGATGGAGACGGTCATCATTCCGTAGTATGTGAAGTAAAGGAATGTGAAGAAGCTGACAAAGAAGAACCAGAAGAATTTTGCTGCTGTCCATTGAAAGCTCACCATAGCATACACTATCAGCACATAATATGCGGTTTGAACAAACACATACGGTATTTCAACAATGACCTGCATGTCATATGGTTCATTTGAGTCACTTATATTGAACAGAGAATTTGATCGGGTGAAACTTAGCTATATAGTAATGTTTTACACTTTCGGATATATTGGAATCCTAAATAACTAGCCTGTTGACACCTGCGGTAGATAACATTATATGTATACATCAAAATGAGTTAATATAAGCATAGAACCCTCAACTTACCTGTGCCAGTGCGTAAGGTAATACAGAGTACATCCCAGCGGCTCTTTCTCGATAGAACACCGTTCTTTCAATTGCAACCATTGGCTGCACTGTTGAGCAGTTATTAACTCCAATAAAAAGCACAGCAGAAGTCATTGCCCCGATAATCATGGTGAGATCAGCTATGCTTTCCCTGCATATGGAGATAAATAACCGAGTAATTGGTCTAAACAAACTCTTGAAGTGCTTATTTTCGCACTTGACATTTGAACTTGTTAAGTGGAGATGAGCACAAAGTGACAAACCTTTTAGTGCCAATCTTCCAGAACATAGATCCAAGCAAGAGGGCAGCGACCAAGGTAAAAAAGAACCTAACAAGGTTGTAATCAGGACTTCTCCAATAAGTCCACCACTGCTTCCACAGGCAAGATTTGAATTGCTCCCATGTTGACTGAGAATATTGAGTACGAAAATAGAGGTCTTTTGCTCCTGGTGGTGGTGTGCTTAACTCCTTTATTAAAGCTTTGTTTCTCCTGGTTATAGTCATAGATAGGAAATCATGTTAGCTCAAAGCCAGCCAGCACTTTACATTACAAATTTTTAGTACTCCGGTGACTTTCTCCTTTCACTTACTGATGCAAGGAAGATGATTTGAAGTGTTGTGCAAAGTCTATTCCAAGTCGGAATTCAGTCGCTACTGAGCTCACCTCTAGCATCCATGTGGCTGGATTATACCTCTCTTTAATTTTTGGCACTCCAGGAACTGCCTGCAACAGGTCAATGAGCATGGACTTGGATAATAATGCATTGTTTACTTTTGTATAATATCAAGATAATGAAAAGTTTTAGGCGGGTAAGTACCTCAAAATATTTGATGATCTTGTGAGAATTGCGGCCCAATGGTCCTGAGTAGATCACTTGTCCTCCTCTCTTCATGAGTAGCAGCTCATCAAAGGCCTCGAAGATATCTATGCTAGGCTGATGAATTGTGCAGACAACTGTTCTCCCGGTGTCCACGGTATTTCTAACAGCCCTCATAACAATGGCAGCTGCCCTTGCATCAAGACCTGATGTTGGTTCATCCATGAAAATGATTGAGGGATTGGCAACAAGCTCAACTGCAATTGTTAACCTCTTTCTTTGTTCAGTTGACAACCCTGTAATTCCTGGAATCCCCACTAAAGCATCCTTTAGATTGTCTAGCTCGACCAATTCCATCACTTCTTCTAAAAAAGTCTGAAAACATTATAGAACGTAGGTTAAAATTAAGATAATTGAGCTATGCATTGTTCACAAAAGTATTACAAATCTTACCATCTTTTCCTCTTTGCTGACTTCTTTAGGTAGCCTAAGGAAAGCTGAGTAAATCAAAGATTCTTTGACAGTGACTTGCGGTGAATGGATATCATTTTGTTCACAGTAACCAGAAATTCTTGCAAAAGTTTCTTGTTTCTTAGGAAAGCCAGAAATTCTAATATCGCCTTCAATGTAGCCACCTGTCTTTCTTCCTGCTAACACATCCATCAAAGTCGTCTTCCCAGCCCCGCTGACTCCCATTAGAGCTGTCAAGACACCGGGCCTAAATGCACCAGTTACTTCACAAAGTAGCTGAAGCCTGTCCTCTTTTACTCCTTCTTCCTTCATTTCCTGTCATAGTAAATGAAGTTAGCTGGGGAAGTAATGAAGGTAGATGATATAAAGTTAGCTATAGATGTAGGACTAAAATCAATCATTTATTTATAAGCTATGTGCCATGGTAATTAATTGCACCAATAAAGTTTATGATCACAAGTTACAACTAAACACTTGAAGTGAATATGCGTTAAAAAGAGAAAAAATAAAATAAAATTTGAAGTGAAATGAGTGAAATAGGTAACAGTTAATATTACCGTGGGCATGTCCACAAAGTAATTTACACTATCGAAGGACATTGCAAGGGGAGTGAAAGGAAGAACCATTCCTCTCTTGGGGGCAACACCACTGGGTACTTCAAGAGTTGAATCAGCATTTCTACTTAGTCCATTGGCATTAGATCGACTGCTCATCCGCTGGATTTCCATTTCTCCTACAACATTTTTGGGTCCAATATGAAATATGCATAACATTGTTCACATTACAGAAGTAAAATTGCCAACATTGTTTTGTTTCTTACTTAAATTGTTTCCATCAGAAGAAGTTAATGATTGAGAAAATGAATCTTTCTTTGATTTGGGTCTTCTAAGTCTTGGTTCTTCCTTTGATTGGTCTGCTTCTATTTCCTCTGCTACTTCTTCATATATTATGGCTTGTGGCTTTCCAAGAGCTAATTTATTAAAACAAGAACATGAGAAATCGTCACTTGAAAACAACAAATATAAGAATAAATTCCTTGTTAGACATAAAAAAACATTCATTCTTACGATTTAGGTACGTAAGTGTGAGTGTGTAAAGGATGTTGAACAGAACCGCAAACCCCAGAACAGCTGCAGAGCCAATCCAAAACCAGTTTTTGTCAGGGAAAACATCAAAATTCTCAAGCACTGCTACACCCAATGCGGTAACATTATCTGAAGCCTGCAGCACAATGAAGCTCATTTTAGAAGTTATTTTTAGTTAGCTTGCCATGATGTATGAAAAGGCGAACTCAAGTATATCATACCATTTTGTTCATCCACCTCGGAGCAAACATTTCTTTTACAGTAATAGCATTGAAACAATATGTCATAGGTGAAACCCAATAGCCCCACCGCCACCACTTCGGAATTTCACCTGTCACAAATTAAGCAACTTTTTGATAGTTCACTAATGTATTAAATCACTCAATTTTGGTTGGTTTTTTTTTTTCTTTCTTTTTATTACATTGCAAACTATATTTAATATTCAGTTCCATACCAACCTCGAGGAATTATGAAACCTCCAAGCATGAAAACAAAGAGCAGAATGAGAGACCCGCCAGTGTTGGCAATGATCATGGTCCTGCAGACTCCAGCAATAAGCCAAAACATCCCTGTAGCCATTTGTTGCAGCAGAAATACCAGCAATAGTTGCTGGAAAAACCTACAAATATTTTGATAGCTGCAATTAGTATCCTAACAAGTAACAACCATTGTAACAGTGTTTTAAGTGTGAAACATTCAACCCATGTATGCTAGTAAGCCAAATATGTATAGAAACATGAAGTTACAAATGAAATTAAGAAGACAAATGTAATAATACCTGCTGGCTTCAGGTGCAAATCCGATGGTGTAATATGTAATGCCTACCCAAACAGTGGATTCAAAAAGGGTTATAGGAATCCGGAGTAGGACAGATGGGAGAGTGAAAGCCCAAGCAGGGTGGAAAAGGAGGTCTCTATGCTTGTAAAATACAGGGAGTCTTTCAATGACCAATGTGAGCTCAGCATAACCACTGAACATGTTATGGATTATGGAAAACAAAAGTGCACCAATATATAGTGCACCATCATCTTCATTTCTAGTGTGCATTTGCGTCCTCAAGAATAGGGTGGCGACTACAAATGCCGCTATAATACTTTGGACCGCCTTGAAAATGTAAACAAAAGAGTTCCTCTTTATAAGTAGCCATTCCTTGTCAAAACAGGCCTTCAGAAGTTCCATTCTTGGTAATGAATATCTTTTGACCACAAGGGCTGCTCCATGGCCTTGGGCCTTATTGAAAGGGATTGAGAGCTCAGTCTCCAGACACATGCCGACATGGAATCGCTTGAATCGGTTTGCGAATTCAGTGACGGATATGTATTGGTATGGCTTGCTTCTGTCCCCCCAATATTGCTCTTGGTCTTTCCTTGAGGTAACCTGAAAAACTTGAACAAAATTATGGTTTGTAAAATTGAAAGCACATTAATAGCTTGCTAGGATGTAACTGGACTAGCAAAGGACCACAGCATTTTAATGGGCTAGAAGATGCATCACAACCTACGTATAGTAAAGTGTGACTGATCATAGTTTTACCTCTTGCAGGAAATCAGCAGTTCCCTTTCTCTCGGGGCATCGAAATCCACAGCTCTCAAAGAACTCCAATACGTGCTCACGTGGGCCCTGGTAGATGATCTTGCCCTCTGATAAGAGGATGATATCATCAAAGAGATCAAACGTCTCAGGAGCAGGTTGGAGTAGAGACATTAAGATTGTGGCCTCGGTAATGTGTACGATTTGCTGCAAGCACTTAACTATTTGATGTGTCGTGGAGCTATCAAGACCCGTTGATATCTCATCCATGAACAATGTTTTTGTAGGCCCGACAATCATCTCACCTATATTAGAGCATATTTATTGGACTTTGTCAACACATTATAAACATTGTTGTGCATTTGAAGTAATTTTGAAATATGAATTTATTCTAAACAGTACTCCTAATTTGAGGATTAAGGTTGTTATTCAAAGTGTAACAAGCACAAGTACCTGTGGTAACTCGTTTTCTTTGCCCACCAGATATCCCTCTCTGCATCTGATCTCCTACAAGGGTATCCTTGCACATATCAAGCCCCAACATCTGTATCATTTAATAAAAAATATAATGACGTTACATATAATGATTATACCAATTAGATAAAGTCACACTTCTCCACCATTTCAGTGGTTTCTGAGAATAAAAAAGACTTTCAAAGACCTTGTTTAAGTATATTTCTGTTTGAAAAATGGTTGTCGCAGGCCAAAGTGCAAGGAAATAAAAGAGGCAAACCAGCAGTGAGTAAAGTTGGTGACAAATTAGAAAGAAGAGTGATTTCATTTTGAGTTGGGATTTACTTACTCTGAGAGTATAGTCAGTAATGAGACTGCTCTCAATTCCTCCCATTGAAGTAGCCTGGAAAAAAAAAAAAAAAAAACCAGAAATTCAGATATATAAGCTTAAAAAATCAATGCATAGAAGGCGGGGTTTAGTGAAATCACAAAAATATATACCTTCATGAAAAGGTCTACTTCTGGCTCTGGAAATATTCCAGCCTCCTTTTCTCTTCTAGCAAGCTCAGAAAGAAGTTCTATGGCCCATGCATAATTTTTGTTAAAATGCTACCAAATTCATTTCTGAAGCTACTTATAAATGAAGAGAGTTTACTTCGATAATGGATTAAGATATGGTTTGGTTTGGTTTGGCTGCAGTTACTTACCATATCGCGTCCCAACCCCTTGGCACCTTGCCGAAAAGTCCTAGAGTTTCTTTGACTGTCAATTCTCCCATATGAACATCATTTTGGCTAATATATGCGGAGGTCTTCTGTGGCACAAATTCATTCAGCCTATATCCATTATAAGTGATTTCTCCACTAACCTGTTCCACAGATCTCATGGCTAATTAAAGACTCAGATTGGAAAATTGTTTGAAAATGTTTTTATATTATAGTATAACAGGTCAAGCTAATGATAAATAAATTAGTTCAAAGCACACAGTGGAGCTGAGGACTGACCTTCAAGCTTGGGTCCAACTTCCCAGCTAATGCCAGCAAAAGGGTTGTTTTCCCCGAAGTCGGAGGGCCTAATAGAAGGGTCATCCTACAACAAAACATGAATAAAGATGACCCAAAATGACAAATTATTGGCCAAAATTTGAAAATTACGACAACAAATTTTATGGTAACTCTCAGTCGGTACTCGATTACCAACTGAACCGAAACCACCCCTAGTAACTTCAATTATGCACTGATTAGGAACACGGGATGAATAATTTGTACACACACAATTCTTTTTCCAATAGTTTAGGATTAATGGAAGCAAGTAACTATTTAGTGAAATTGAATTTTAAACCCAACCCCTAGCAGCCTAAAAGCTGCTATCATATGATGTACCTTACCTTGATGGTTTGATAATGCCAGAGGCATCCTTGAGAATTGTTAGATTTGTTCTCTTAGCCACTTTGATCCCTATTAAACCAAGAGTTGATTCTGCGATGTTCCGAGCCACATTTGGGAGGGTGGGAATAGCTCTGGTGCCAATATGGCAATTGGCTTCCACTGTCAAATGCTCAAACCTAACTTCCACTGTGGGAAGTTTGATCCCAACCCTGAAATCAATTACAATATGAGCAAATAAATAAATTATTAACTCCATGTACAATGTTCCATGCGCTTTTTACGCAAAAGTTTATTAGGGTAAAGGGAAAACACATATCGAATTTTTTTTTTTACGAAATTAAGTCGTTGTTCTAGTAAGCTAGTGGCCTAAAATCGCGAAAAGTTGAAATTACACGTACCAAAGTAGAACTTCGGCCAAACCACAGAGACCAAAAACTATCATTTGGCCGAAATGAACAATATTTTCACATGTTCCATGTCTGTTGGATGGTAAATCAGCCACGTGGTTTATCCGAACATGCAAAAATTACTATGACACTAATCTTTTAGCCGCCTAAAAAGATTGTAACAAAACCTAAAATATTCAGTTTAGAACAAGAACTTAAGAGATACAGAACAAGAACTTACTTATCAATTCTACTTCTGATCATTTTCAAGAACCTCTCATTATCTTCTTCTGCAATCTTAAAAGTGGTGTCAATAAATGTTTGACGGTCGGTTATGTTGAGCTTCAGAACGTCCACTTCCTTATGTATGACTTTGTTGGTCTTATTTCCTTGAGCATCATCATCATCGGTTTCGACGAAGGACTTGATGATGCTTGTTCTTAACCGATTATATGTTGGCAATTTCTCAATGGCTGCCCATATCAGAGCTTCTTCGTCTTCATCTATTCGAATGTTTCGTCGAGAGGGCGTGGTGCTTAAAAACACATCCTCCATGCTCACCCCCGTGCTTCTGCTTCTTCTTCTGCTCAAGCTATGGTAGATTTCTGTTGAAGACCCTTTGGCTTTCTCTATTCCTTCCATTTTATTTCTTCTTTTAATTTCCTTGCCTGAAACCAAATAAATATAGAGAAAATGGAACTTGCCCAGATCATAAATTAAGAAACTTGATGGCTAGATTGCTCCAATTTTTGAAAAAATAATTGAAATATATGTTCAAGAAACTGAGGTTGATGTAAGTGGTGATTGTAATTGGCTATAGAAATACAGCATTTCAATTGAAATGAGAGCACTTACTGGTTTTATGCACTTTCTCTGCTCAAATTCTTGGAAATTAAAATCTCTCAGTTTTGCAGGTGATGCAGAGGACTGGTGCAATTCAATGCAATGCATCTGCTCTGCTCTGCTTGGAAAAGTTTGTGCCTATTTAAACATGCACAAGAGAGCAACAATTTTCAATAAAGATTATTTTCTTTCAATTAAAGAGACTGTTGGTATTCAAATTACGTCAGAATTTGTGCACTGCAATTCCACTTGGTGGCTTCCATTGGCTTGACCATATGTATATATACTAAAGGCTTTTATGTTGCATTGCATGGTTGCAATGTGTCAAAATTACATATTCCATGTCACATTGAAATCCATTCTTTCAGTTTCATACATGATTCAATGCATTTTGCATTACCAGATTTGCTACCAATTAATTTTTTTTAAATATGAAACAAATTTACAAAGAGAATCCTCGACAGATCTTATAACCATAGATATCAAAAACAGTTCTATGTATAACCGAAGAAAGAAAAATACAAAATCAAATTAGAAGGATTTGAATAAACATATCCCATCTTTGCTAAATTAATAGCTACCATATTAGCTACAAAATCAAGTGACGAAATCTTCTTCTTTATTTGTTAAGTTCTTGTAATTTCTTTCCTTTTGTTTTGAATTCATTTCTTTCTTCATATTGTGAATATGTTGTGAAATTTTTTTCCTTTTTCAACTTTGAGATATTTTTATCTTTTGAATTGTTTTTTCTTTTACATTACAACGCATTTGACATTGGTACATGAATACTTGATTCTTAGCTCACATATTAGTTGTAGGTAATCTGCATGACAATATTGCAGAAAGTTTTGGTGACTTTGAAATCAACACAAACATTGTTTAATTTGATTGCAACACTTCGTCACCTCTTCATCAACTTTTCATATATGTGTTTGCAATGTGTAGTTTTGGCTGGTAAACAAGAAAGTCATCTACACAGAGCCATCAGGCTTCGCCAAATCTTTATTATTCAGTGGACCCCAGTGGTCTCAAATCCTTCAAATCTCAATTTATATATGATGAATTCCATGCACTTGCAGTTGTTTGTGTGTGTGAATATTTTTGGTAATTTGAGATTTTATTTTATTTTATTTACATGTATTATGACTAGATCTGCATGACCAAAAATGCTGCCCAACAAAAGTCATCGTCATCATAAAAGGCATCTTTAATTCCCAAAGGGAACAATTCAATTCAGAGGCCTATATAGTTTCCTCATTTATTTGGGTTGTCATTAATCTTCTTTTATTTCAATTATTGTCAGTAATCTTCGATTTGATTTGATCATCACATAAATGGTTAGAGCATCTCCAATAGTAGTAGCAAATTAAACTCTTTAAATTAAAGTTTATTGACTTATGTGGCAATTTGAAAAGGTTTATTTGCTACTTGAATAATTTTTGCTCCAATAAACTCTTTATTTTATTTTTTTGCCAAACGCTAGGGAGATTGCATTTATAAATAGGATTTTTGTAGAAATGTTACCTAATTTATACATCAGTATCAATTTGTCACCTTAAAGAAAAATTTAAGCGAAATGTCACCTTAAGTTTTCAAAATTCATGATTTGTTATCTGACCTTAACGTCATCCAATTTTCCATCCATTTTCAAGGGTTTTTAGTCTTTTCAATATGTAAACCTTTGTGAAGCCTTTTCAAAACAAAAATTAAATTAAATTAAAGGGACATAAGTCAAGAACAGTACTTTTACACCTAAACAACAATTAGGGTTTCAAATTTTTTTTAAGGCATATCTGGGAGTTGTCAGTCACATTGGGATTGATCGCGACTCTACACTACAAAGTCACTGGGGACTCTCCTAACTACGGTAAAGCTTTGCTTTCTACTTGGGAATCTCTGAAGTTTTTGCTTTTTATAGTACAAATACAAAAACCTAAAGGGCTAGAACAAATGCCCCCGAAGGGCTACACCAAACACAGAGTGATCTAATCACAACATCAAACTTATATGGTACACCTCAACTTAAAGCCACGCATGGCTAACTTAATGTCACACAGGGCCATGGACAGTCGTGCTTAATCGCCTCAAATCTGTAATAATCAAGTACATCACCCATAACGCAACTTATAAACCCAAATTTTCCCGAAGAGAAACGACAACCACGCATCAAACTCAACAGAGTTGATGCACTTACTGGACCAAAACATAAACTAAAAACTAGCAACATCCAACCCCAACCCATGACTATGGCTTGAAAGAAGGCAGACTCGAAAAGAAGCCCCAAATAGCAGTCATCGTCGATGTCGTCGATGCCGCCACTATAGCTATTGTCACAGCCAAACCAAGTACCTAGAATAAGAACACACAAAAAACAACCCAACAAACCCAAGATCCAAACATATCTAGCTAGAAAATCCAAGATCATGTAGATCTAGATACATATCTAAACTTCCCACCCCCTAAACTCCACATTCTCCACAATCCAGTCAAGTTTTCCCCACAAGCAGAGTAGAAAGTTAGGAGAATGAGAGATTCAGAAAGGAAGAGAAAGGAGGAAAAGGAGGAGGAGGAGGAGGAGGAGTGGCCTCCTCCCCCTCCCCTACCACGCCTTGCTTAAAGAGAAAGGAGAATTGAGGGTTTGAGACGAGAGAGAGACGACAACATACTCTTCAATTCAATTAATGAAATACCATTAAAAAATATGAAATACGAAAACATGTGAAAAATGTCTATGTATTTATTATATGAAAAGAAAAAAATGCATGTTATTAACATTTTCAATGTAGGTTTTGTTTTTCCAAAGTAAAATTAAATGTTTGAAGAGCCAAAGTCAACTTACCATCCTGAAGAGAGAGAAAGAGGTTTCAACTTTGATGACTGAGGTTGAATAGGATGTTGGAGAGAGTTTTTCTGATGTGGCTCACCGATTTTATAATTTCAAGTTGTTGAAGAGGCTGTTAGAGATGCTTTATCTTGTAGTTTAATTTTTTTGATTGGTGTATTGATTTTGTGAATTCATTTGTTGATAATGTGGAAAATTCATAGCTCTTAATTTGCAAAAAGGGGCCATCAAACCAAATTCTTCACATAATATGAAATGATGACAATGCACTGAGACATCGTCTTTGAGAGGCAAAATCTACTCTTAAGGTGTTTATTCCTGAATTTTCCTTGAGACCCACTTGAGAGAAGCTGACCTGAATTTAAAGACCTAGTGGATTAAAGTTGGGCCTAAATCAAGATTGTGCCAATAGGTCGAGCTCAAAGGCCCACGGGCCTGGTGTTTGAAATAATTAGATTTGGTACATTTGAAATTACTACATCTGAAAGAAATTATTTGAATTCCATTTGTTTTTTGTCTAAATCTTGGCATATATAAATTGTAATACTTCAACAAACAATTTTACTTTATAATGTTGTTGAGGCCCAAAAAATCCATGGTTGGGCCCGAATAAATTTCTAGCCCAAGACGATATATTATTGAAAAAAGATCCGATTTGGAGCATATGAAGGTATGACATACACGAGTCATACTCCGCACGCCATGCTAAATAAAAAATCCGTCAAGCTAGGAATTGAGATAAAAATTATAAAATGCATTTAGCTCTGCAAATCCATGCCAATTATCCTATCAAGCGCCATATTTAAAAGCATGCCAAGCAACATGCCATGCCAAGCGGGAAATTATTATTTCACACCCAATCGCACACTACAAGCTTAAGTGGGCCCAAGCCACTCAAATGCCCGGGGCTTGCTTGAATGGGTTGTGGTATGGATGGTAACGAATTGTCATGGGGCCCATTGATGGGCCAAGAAATGGAAGTCTCGGGTCGTTTGGGGGCCTCGGGACTCAAGCCCATTTTCTTAGGCTCAAACGTGGGTAAGCACAAGAGAGGAAATAGCTCAATTGCTTCAACTAGAATAGCCCAACCAAAATAACTCATTACTTTAGATAGCTCATAAAGCCCAAATACTTGGTGAATTTAACCCACTTATTAGATGACTTGGTCTTCTATATTAAATGGCCTATACCATTTGAATAAAATGAGTCCAAGGCCTTCTTGGCTGAAGCAGAAGGCCACGAAGAAAGCCAAAGATTCACATGTGAGGGGCTGCTGGGAGAACAAGTTCCAAGTGCAAGCATTCAAGAAACCAAGGGGTATTGACACGCAGGGGAAGATGCTATCCCTTAAACCAGCAGGCGCACCCATTTTCTTTCCTTCATCAGATTTGGCCATGAAAAGAGGAGGAAAGAAGAGAAAGAAGATGGGTGAAAATGGAAGCTCTTCTCTGAAGCCGCTGAAGCCTCGAGCTCCCAAAAATCCCTGATTTTGTGGGATTGGGCAGAACTGATTTTTGCCTTCATGAGGTAAGTCAAGAAAGATGAGAAGAAAGGAAGAGGAAAGCTTAGCTAGATTGGAAAGAAACCATTAGGGTTTCTTGGAGAAGACCCATTCCCAGTAGCTATAAATAGGACCCCTTCTACCCAACACGACACAACCCACAACCTTCAGAGAGCAAGCTTTCTCTCTCACATGCAAACCCAGGAATTTTCGTGCTATCCTTCCTCATTTTCCTTTATTTCCCCTGTTTTGGCAGATTGACAGAAGCTTTGACAGAGTCACTGTTAAGCTGCCGGAAACTGCGAAAGTCACCCAAAACTCTTCACCATCCTTCTCCCTCTTCATCAAACCTCCTTAGAACCTCTCTCCCTCTCCATTAGAACCTCTGTACCTCATAGGAACCCACAGATCTCTCTCCTAAAGTGCTAAACCCATGATAATTTTTGCTACCATGCCATAAGTCACTCATGCCAAGCTAGAATATTTATCTGTAATTTGTTGTCATTTTCATTGGTGAAGGTAACCAAGGAGTTTCCTAAGGCGTCATCACCCTTTCGAGACATCCTTGGGGCTTGATCTTCGAACTCAGACACAAGGGGACACTTGCATCAGATTGCTCTTTACAGCAGCCCAACCCACTTGCTGCCAGAAGAAAAAAAGCCCCTACAAATGTCATCTAATTTCTTAAATTTGCAATCAATCCATCTAACCGGACTCAAAAGAAATGAGAAGAAGTTGACAAAGAAGAATTTTTCTGATGTCTGTTGAAACCTCACCATAGCATACACTGCATTAGGTCACTTAA